GACCGAGCGCAAACCGTGAAACGGCAGCCAGCGCGCGGGGCGCCCTCGAGGCGGCCACCGGCGGCGACGGGGCGAACATCCGGAAGCGCCAGCCAGCGTGCGGAGCGCGGGGCGCTCCCGAGGCGCCCACGGGCGGCGACCGGGCGCAAGCCTAGCAACGCCTGCGCGCGAGGCGCCCACGCAGTCAGCGCACGGGCCGTCCACGAGTCGCCCATGGGGCGGCGACCGGACGAAAGCCAGGAAGCGTCAGTTATATTTGTTTCCCGACTTCAGCTGACCCCTCGGCCTCCCTCTGAGCCCGTTTGAGTTCTTCACGAGTCATCCTGACAAGGCCACGGGTTCCGCCCTATTCCCGATGTTCATTGGGTGCAGCGTTCCCGTCCCATGGCGAGCCCTCCGCAACTCGTGTTGAGGAACGGGTGGCTTGGCTTCGATGTTCATCCACCTCACGGGTGGGGCAAAGGCTGCACTAATTGCAGCTGCAGGCCCTTGGGACGTTGCAGTCCGGGGAAGCACTAGCGTGCACGGCGTTGATAAGGGGCCGCGCGCGCGTGCTAAGGGTTGGCAGGTGGCTCGCGCGCATGCCGTATCATTTTTGTTTCGCAGTGCAGGTTTCTTGAGCGTTCTCCGTGCCAATCCTGCCGATCGGCCCCTGTCCATATCATAGTCTGCCGACAGCCAACGTGCGAATCTCCACGGTCGTCAGCGATCTTGCCCATCTTTGCCAAGCCTCGAGCGGCGCATTGCCATTTTTCAGCATCGTATCACAGACGCTTGTGTTATATATACACATATATATACACATACATGTTACATTAACGTCATATTAGCCAGCATGGACTCCACACAGTTTAGTCTACTTTTGAGGTGAATGCTACGCCATGCAAACAATGTTGTGTGAACTATGGTGTGTAAGTTATGTGGTGTGTCCTATGTTGTGTGAGATAGGTTATGCAGTCTAAGCGGTGTAAGCTACGTGGTGTGGGCTATGCTATGTAAATTGTTCGGTGGAGGCCACGTGGTGTGAGCTACGTCGTGTAAGCTTTGTTGCCCACCCGGGGCACGTGACGCCTGCGAGTGCCCACGAGGCGTCACGGGCGCGAACGTGGTGAAACCAGGGCAGACTCGCCCAGGGCACGGGGCGCCCACGAGCGGGGTACAGGCGGGAGCGTTGAACATCCTCGGCGGACCCACCCAATTCGTTTCAACGAGGCCGGGAGGAGCCCCTCAGTGCAAGCACTGTTTGCGGAAGTGAACAGTCGGCGTTTCGTGGTCAAGCGCTTGTGTTAAGCTTCCTACCGCTCGGCGACTCAGCAGCACCCCGTCATTCGCTAATACACATGCAGCCTATGCTCACCTTGTTTCACGTCGTGCTGTCTCAGTTGACTGGGTGGTGACATCTTCTCTACCACTCACTGACTCTCGCTCGCTCTCTCTTTCCATTCCTGCAGTTTGTCCTCTGCGTTCGCTTCCATCTTCCTTCCCTCTCTGCCGGTTTCTTTCGTGTTCACTCGCTCTGTTGCTCTCTCTCGCTCCATCCCTACCTCCAAGCTCCCCGCTTCCTGCCCCATATGGTTGGCTCTCTCTGTCCCTCTCTCTTGTTCTCGTATGCCTTGCCGCGCAGACCCCCCCGCCTGTTGCCTGCAGCTGTTTAAGCAACATGTTTACTTGACCAGGGCATACATCTGCCCGCGAGGAGCTCTCGTCACTCAGGGGCAACGATAGGGGGGATAGGCATATAGGGGGATACATCGAGCCCCAACCGCCCATTCATCACCGCCCATTCAACCGCCCATCAACGTGCGGATTCACGATCGGGGGCCGATTGCCGACCCATCGGCGATGTATCGCCGATTCCAGGTCGATGTGCCCCCCCCCCATGCCAGTCCCCCCTGTCGTTTCCCCTCAGTCGCACTGAGGCGCGCTCTCTTGCTTCATGGTGAAGTCAGCGTAGGGGCGCATGGTTTCAGCTGGTTTCCCTTTGGCTCCATTGCGGTCTTTTTGCGTGCCTTTTGGTTTCCCCGTTTTGATGTACGCTGTTCGTCCCATCCATAAGGGAATTATATGCCTCCTCGAGAGTCTGAGCGGGGACCGTATGCGAATGGGAGGAGGGCGAGGCGCCGTTAACTTGTTGGTTGCTTCGATCATAACGGGCGTTATGGCCCTCGCCCCACCGCCGCCACTTCTATACCGTAACGCCCCCCCCCCCCCCCAGTGCGCCCCGGGCACTGCCGCCGTGCGCGGTTGGATCCACACGGCTGGAGCCTGTTTTTTTCATTCCTGGCCGATGACTGCCGTCGTCTGAGGGGGGGGGAAGGGGCAGAGGACTTCGCGTTTCGTGCCGGTGGCGTTTGGGAATGCTTAGGAATGACCGAGAACGGGTAGCAGCAGCATGTAGGTGGCGATCCGCACCACAGCGTCTGTGTACACCACAGTGCCTCCGTGCACCACAGCGCCTGTGTACAGTGTGCACCACACCGCCTATGTACACCACAGCAGCCGCGTGCAACACAGCCCCAGCGTGTGCCACAACGCTTGCGTGCAACACATCAGCCGTGTACAACGCAGCACTTTGCACACCACAATGCCTTTATGCACTACAGCTATTGTGTGCTCCACGGCGCCGGTGTGCACCACAGCAACCGTGTGCAACAGAGCACCTCTGTTGCATGTAGACTGCTAGACATAGTCCTATGACGACATGCAGCGCTTGTGGATTTCATAGAGAACAATTGTTTTATTGAGGATTTTCAAAGGAAGCCTTAAAATAATAAGAGCGCCGCTGGAATCTTCTTGCGTCTTCCCGAGTCCTCCCGCGTCATCCTAACCCCATCCAGCTGAATTGGCCGTCCAAGAACCAAGTGGATTGATTCAATCGACCAGTCTGCGGTGCACGCTGAAATGCGCACATGCGCTGTAGCGCCGACCCGCACGGCAGGGGGAAAGGGTGAGGGAGGTGGAGGAGTAGGAGGAGGAGGAAGAGGAGGAGGAGGAGGAGGAGGAGGAGGAGGAGGAGGAGGAGGAGGAGGTGTAGGTGGAGCAGGGTGTGAGGGAAAAACGTCCCATTTTATTCAGCAATTCTCTGGCGTGGTGTTGAGCTGTCCGTAACAGATCCTCACCTGCATGTTCCTTCTGTCTGTCTTGTGCACGCAGGCACTGTGATGTACACCAGCGCTGCGTTGCACGCGGATGCTGTGGTGTAGACAGACGTTGTGGTGTACACAGGCGCTGCGGTGCACGCAAGCACTGTGATGTACACAGGCGCTGTCTTGCACATGGCTGCTGCGGTGTACCAATTCGCTGTGGTGTACACCAGCTCTGTGGTGCACGCAAACACTGTGGTGTGCACAGGCGTTGTGGTGCACACGGCTGTTGCGGTGTACGCAAGCGCTGTGGTGTACACGCGTGCTGTGGTGCACGCGAGCGTCGTGGTGTACGCAGGCGTTTTGGGACAGATTCCCACCGACATGCTTCTCCTACTTAGCCTCGGACCTCCTCAGGCATTCCTGAACGCCGCCGGCGCGGAAAGTGACGTTACCTGGGGGGGGGGGGTGCGGGGCCGATGACCAGTGGTGCCGGAGCCACACGGCGATGGGGGGAGCGTTACGTTATACCACCCCCTCCCCCGCCATAACGCCCAGTATCGCCGAAAATCAAGAAACGCGCTTTTGCCCTGCTGCAGAGCGGGCGATCGGGACCGAGTGGACGGCGCGGGAGAGGAGTGATGCAGCAATGCATAATGATTTCAGCAGCCGAGGATATGAGCTCATAGTCGAGGGAGGTGATCGGATAAGGAAAGTCTGCATTAGCATAACGTTCGAAGGTCTGCGCGAATTTCGTGGATCTTGGTTGACCACTTCTGCCGTCCTGACAGCCTGACAATGGTTTAGTGTCTGGAAAGCTCCAGATGCTGTCCTGACGCGTGAGCCAGGGGGCAGAGACGGCCCATCATTCATAGGCGATGGAGAGAGAGTCCTGGCGGCCCTCGACAGGAGCCGTCCCCACCAGCTCCTAACTCCTTGGGCTTCCCACTAATTCTTCTTACTGGCTGGCGCCTCCACCTTTGAGGCACCCTCACTCCCTTGCTCGCTTTCACGTCTGATTTTCGGAATGCCTGAGCCAACCCATGTTGGTGCCAGCCATTAGGTTTCAATTTCTGCGATGCCAGCCATCTGGCGTCAGAGGTTCGGAATGCTTTATTTTTGAAATCGGTAGTAACGAGCAGGGCCCGATAATAGCCCCTGCTCCCCCTCCTGGCCGCAAGTCGTGGCTGCACGTGATCTCCATTTTTCTGGCGTGTTTGCGACTCTTTGCTTGAACATTCTATGCTCCGTCTTGCGTCCCCTTTTACAATTGATCATTCAGAATACCTTCCTCTCTCTCCTGATTTGCGTCTGGAAGATAGCCAGCTCTCTCCGCGTTTGTTTTGTTTTTCTTTACACTGGATTTCAAACGTTGTTGTTTATATGTTCTTCCGTGAACGCAGATCTATTGTTTCTGGTGTTTCAATATGTTGTTCCCGCTGCAGCGTGGGCGACAGGAAATACGATCAATCGGAAGGGATGGGTTGGATGGGGTCGAATGACAGATATGGCACGAGCGCACCTTGCTTCCCCCTCTCCCAGTTCAGACACATTTCGCAATGACGAACATTTACTAATACATTCCCCTTCTGCCCCCTCTCTTCCCCCTCTCCTCCCTCATTCACCCTTCGCCATCCTGATGTTACTCGCCCTCGCTCACTTCCCGCCTCTTCCCCCCCCCCTCTCTCCTCCTCCTCCCTTCTCCTTCTCCTCAACGGTCAACAACAACATTTCAACAGACTGGTCGGTACTGCGTGGAAGGGGACGCCATCCACTGTCACGACACTGTGCCAGGAACTAGTCAAAGGTGTTGCTCCTCCACGTCTGGCGCGATCTGTGACATACCAGCCCCACCCGCGCTGTGTTCCGTGGCGCTTGTGCTGGATTCCTTGTTGCCCAGGACCTCTTTCTCAATAGATGCTCAGAGCGAGCCTGTGTCAGGCTTTCTTGCCCATCGCCTCTTTCGCCATGAACAAGGCGCGAGCGATGCTGGACGCCCTCATGGGGCCGGGCAGAGACGCGGGCAAGAAGGACGCGAAGGAACGCAATTGCGTACCCCTTTTCTGTAGCCAGGGGCGAGGGGGAATGAGGGGCGAAGATACTGACGACGCATATCCATAACTATCAGAGGCATAGGGTTGGGAGGAGGAGTGGCAATCTCAAGAGGACGAGTTTGAGGAGGAGGAGGAGGAAACAGTTCGTGACACTTACAAGCGACATAGCAATCCCAACAGAGAACAAAGCGGAATGAAGGGGAACAGAGCCGAGCGGGAATGCCGCGAGATTTTGCGACGCCACGACGGCACGACGACGGTGACGACGACGGCGATGGCGACGATGATGGCGACGAGGACGATGTCGAAGGGCCCGCGCAGCGAGACCGCTCGGGCCGCGTCTCCAGCTTCCCTCCGAAGCCGCCCTCGGGATCGATGCCCTCCTGCATCCACAAGTGGCCCAGTGACTCCAGCGACTGGGAGGAGGAATAGCCTTGAAAACGGATAAGCGCCATGAAAGGACTCCTGAGAGAAACAGGTCTGAGCCTCCTTTGGCCCTACGTTGGCCTCGAGACTGTCAAACAATTATTGTGGATGACGTTGGTCCTGGGGTCCAGGACCCGTTTCCCTCAGGACCTCTTCTTTTCATGCCAAAGTCTCAGTTTGCCTTGTCTCCGCGGGCCCGCGCGAGGATGAATGGAAGCATGTAAGAGAAGGTGTAGGAAGGACGTGGAGGGTGGGAGCTGCAGATGGGCGGGGGAACAGATGAGAAGGAACGCTCGTCCGTCCCTCCCTCCCTCCCACTCCTTCTCCCTTTCCCTTTTTGGGAAATGATCTTCTCTCCTACTCATCCTCCTCCTTCCTCCTCATTCGTAAAGGCGTCCCTATGTCCTACGGCCATCCTCTTCCTTCGCAGGCACACATTCACACGCAGCGCACGTATCAACCATTGGAGACAGTTTGGCGGCAGCTTTTTGATCTGTTCCAAGATATTCGCTCTGGTATCCCTACCCACTGCAGCAGACAGCCTTACACGGCATCGGCCATAGATCGGATTTTCTCAGCACACCCACGTTTCTCTTCATCAGTACCGACATTCAGTACTCTCTGGCGTCTGCTCCAATTGACATGTTCAAGTCTCGATTGAGCGGCCACTCCATCGTCCCTGTCTCGTTCCGTACGAAGGTCGCCACTACAGAGGAGTCGCAACGCATTCCAGAGGTTGCTTTCACTGGCGAGAGGTGCAAGGTCATATTGGACGGGCTTGCTTCGGCCGGAGATATTGACAGGTTCGCGCCAGTAGAGAAATGAGAGCACATGACAGCATCCGTGATCGAAGCAGCACGACAGACCAGGGATGACTTCGCATACCCCCACCAGCCCATCCAGAAACGATGCCCAGGCGAGGCGCCCAGAGGGCCTCTTGGAGCGTATTGGCTTCCGCGGGGAGCTTTTTGGGGCCTCTTGGGGGCCTCTTGGAGACCTCTTGGAGGCCTCTTGGGCGCATCTTGGGGCCTCCAGGGCGCCTCTTGGGGCCCCCTTGAGGCGCTCTTGGGAGCCTTGGGGGCGCTCTTGAGGCCATCTTGGGGGAACTCGACCAACGAAGATGGACGCTTCAATTCGCCTCCCTCCTCGGGTGCCTCAAGCATCGCCTCTTGGGGCGCTCTTGGGCGCTCTTGGGGCCGTCCCGGGGCTCTCTTGAGCCTATCTTGGGGCCCTCTTGGGCCATATTGGAGCCATCTTCAGGCCTCCGATGGCCCTCGGAAGCGAACATGCGAGACAGCAAACGACATCGATTGTCTTCAGGTGTTTTGGACGTTGGGGACCTCCTTGGGGAGCTCTCGGGCCAGTTGGAGCCGTGTTGGGGCGGTCTTGGAGCCTCTTCGAGCATCTTGGACGCCATCTTGAGCCATCTTTGCGTTGTCTTGGGCCATCTTTGAGTTCATGTTGAGCTCTCTCAGGCGCTCTTGGAGCCATCTTGGGCTGTTTTGGACGCTCCAACCCTTCGCGACACCCCCCGTCCAGGTCCAAGGGAGGGGGCAGGGGGAGGGGTAAGCCCTTCCCAAAGGGGGGAGGGAACGTGTTGGAAGAGAAGCCGCCCTGGACCACCTACGCCCTAAAGGGATGATGGGATTCCAACGGCTTCTTTATCGCTCCAACGGCAAGAGGGCGAAAGGTGGCCGCGACATCACGCTTCGTAGTATTGCTCGCGTGATTTGGAAGCAGGGTCAACGTCAAGCGGCGCTGCTCATGGCGACAGAGGATGGCAAGACGTTCCTGAAGCTCGACGGCTCCACCGCGGTCCTTCTGCAACGCGACACCTTCCGCATGCCCTTCCGCTCCTCGCATGCGGCTGAGTTCGAGGCGCTGTTGATGCGAGCGGCCCGGGTAGCGCAATCAGCACAACGAGGTGGAGACCATGCCGCAGCTGAAGACCATTTTCGTCAGCTTCTTTCCGCCCGCATGCGGGCATACCTCTGGACACCCAAGGGCCACACGATGGTCATAGCAGGCATTCGTCCAGACCGTGCCCTTGGAGGCCTCAGAGTCACCCACCAAAAGAGAGCCCAAGGATATCCACCAGGCCACTACCGGCTTCTGGGGTAGGGTCTTTCAGTATGCCCCAGTTGACGAGAGCGCCATCGAGGCGCACCTGGACCAGGTGTACCGGGCAGCCCCAATGACCCCTCTAACGGTTCCTAGCATCGAGGACGTAAAAGCTACCCTAAAGAGAGTTAGTCATTCCTCTCCTGGTAACGACAGGCTCGCTCCCCTACAAGGCTTGGGCGGCATCTGAGGCCCAGCTCTCGGTCCTCCACGGCCTCATGCTGCACTTGTGCTCATGTGCCCACGTCCCAGAAGACCTTATCGGTTCCCTCTTCGCTTTCTTGCCGACGGGCGGCGAGGCGTTTGGCGCGCACGACTGCATTAGGAAGCCATCTCAGTTTAGGCCTCTTTCGTTCCGTGACGCAGACTTCCCAAGATTTCAGTCGCCGCCGTGAACCTGGAATTCAAGGCCCCAGTCCAGTCTCCGACCAATGTGGTCCACCACTTTCGATCTAGCCGCTGCGCTCCCGAGCTCGGGCCACCATTGGCCCTGGGCCGTTCAAGCGCGCCCGGGCGGGCCTCCCAAGGGGCCGCATGCAGTTCATTGCTTCCTCATGTTTCGCCCCTCGGAGCTTTGCAACGTTTCTGGGTTCGAAGCAAAGTATGTTCTACCACCACGCAGGAGTAATGCATGGTGTCCTTAGTCGGGTTCGGCATTGGTTTTGGCTGTTTATCCCAAGCTGAAGCGTCCGGCAGAGCAAGCGGCCGACCCAATTTTTGGGGAGTTGCGTGGCGACGTTGAGGGTTGCGCTGATGACGCTGGACTTGCTCAGCCCAGACCACAAGACTTCGTGAGGGCGTTCCCTGTGTTTCGAGTGGCCGACGAGCTGGTGAAAATCAGGTTGCAGACGGCTTCATGGTATCCCTTCGGACAGAGCTCCCAGATGTAGCGACATATCGAATTCGGTTGCTTCATTCTCGAAATACCCTCGGGTCCAGTTTGGCCCAGGGCCCTCGGAGTCTTTGGTCTGGAAAGAAGCAATCGCCAAGTGTCGGCCCAGGTCTTTCGATATCCCAAAGGCTGAATCTCCCACTCGTGGAGGTCTTCTCCTGTGCAACAACATTGCTCGATCTACCCTGAGCTACTTAGCTCAGCTCTTTCCAATGGGGCGATCCTTTATGCTGGAAAACATGTCTGCCATACACGGGGACCCTCGGCTCCGTCCCCGTACTTTCTGTAAGGCAGGTGTCTTTTCGTTGTCGGGCCACGGGCCCGTCTTTACTGTCGCCAGCGCTGCTCATTGGGACGGCAGGCAAGCGGCGAAGCTCCACTCTCTCTCTCTCTCTCTCTCACGACTACAGACTGGCGTGCTGAGCTCGACCCGTGACGAGGAAAGGCGGCGCAGACGCTTCCCGCGGCCTCGTGGATCCGAGGAGAAAGGAGTGCTCCCTTCTGGGCGCAACAGCTGGGCGCTGCGCAGCGCTTCGCCTCTCTTGCACAGGCGCCCCCGATACGCGGCATGCCAATGCAGACCTGGCGGCTGCGTAAGCTGCGGGCGGACTGGTAGCGGCAGCAGGTACTGCTGCAGCCAGAGGGCCCAAATTAAAGTGGGCGTGCACCGCATCCCTGCGTCAAGATGTATCCCAAGAAGTTGGGCAACACGATTTCCAATGCGCCTCCGCGGGGGCTTCTGTCTTCAGTGGTCGGGGCGGCGGGCGAGCGGCGGGGGGGTGTCTGGCGACCGCCAAGAAATTTTAGCTCGTTTGGCTGCGGTCGAGAAGACGCTTGCTGCGGGATGGACGACGAATCATCGCGTGCGTTTCTGCGGGAGTTCAGACAGGCTCTTGTCCTGCGCTGCGTTCCCTCCTTGGTCTGTCCTTCAACCCGCTCACCTTCCTCGGCGTTGGAGCCGATGGCGATTGCAATTTTGCGAGCTGTCCTTTCTCGCGCGCAGGAGCGTTGCGATTGGCCGCGCTCGCTTTCCATGCCTGCCTTACGGCGACGGCTGCGGTCGCCCACGGGGGCGGGCTAACGCCTTGCCAACAGCGGGCCGCCGCCGCCACTGCCAGTGGAGGGGGCCATCTGTATTCGCCGCAGAGGGGGCTACAATGTTTTATGCGGTAGCGTCATTGCTATTGCCGCGGATTCTTCGCAAGCGCCTTGCCTTGCCTTGCCCTACCTTGCCTCCTTCTCCTCCTCTTCCCCCGCCTTCCGTAGCCATTTTGGCTCAAACCATGTTGGCTCAAGTTCGAAACGCCCCCTGGCGCTTCGAGCTTGGACGCAGCCGAGGGGAAGGCTCAGCGTCCGATTCTTGGGGAGAGGCCCCGATCGCCCCCGCGCCCTGTTCCCTATTTTTTCTACTTTTTCCTGATCCTAGGCGCCCTGCCAGGCTTGGGTAAACTGAGGCGTTTCCAGTTCCCGGCCCTGGTAGTGCGGATGTCCTCGCCAACGGCTTCAGGCAGCGAAACCCTCCAGGACATCATCCAGAATGCCATGGC